ATTGAATGCAGCGGTCAAGGAAAAGCGACCAGAATTGGTCAATCGTAAAGGTGTCATTTTCCAGCAGGACAATGCTAGGCCGCACACGTCTTTGTCCACTTGGCAAAAATTGATGGATATTGGTTGGGAATTGATGTTACACCCACCATATAGCCCTGATCTCGCGCCATCAGATTACCACTTATCTCGATCCCTGGACAACTCCCTTCGTGGTAAAACTTTTAACGATGACGACGCTGTAAAATCTCACTTAACTCAGTTTTCGGCCGAAAAGGATCAGACTTTCTACGAGCGTGGAATTTTCAAGTTGTCAGAGTGATGGCAAAAGGTCATCGAACAAAATGGAAAATACATTACAGATTAAACTTCGTTCCAAGTAAAAAAAACTTTTTATCTCATTGAACAAATCGGCAATTACTTAGTTGCCAAGCCAATATAAACAAAATTGATTTTCTTCGGCCTGTCTTTCTCAAAAAAACTGTGCGTTAACGGGTTAAAATAAACGTCTTACCGTTACAAACCGATTATTATTATAAAACGGCTGCTTCTAGCGCTCCGCGAGTCCGTTATCGATAAAAAGTTCAGCCAAGCATGCTTTGATTTTGCGGGATATTCCGGGGCGTTGGCTAAACAATCATCAATCCAGCGTCATATTTATGGTTCGACAGAACGTCGAAACCGAGTGGAGAGCGTTGTGGCCGGCGGGGGTGTGGGGTTAGTTCGGAGAAGAATTCGCAACGCGTTCCATCCGCCCACGGTTAAACATTTCCGGGGGCCCGGGCGGAAGTTCGATGCAGTTCCGTTTATCGCTCGGGTATTATTTATTCAGTCAATCTTACGGAAGAAGCGAGCCAGACGCACCACCTTTTTTCCGGCGTCTCCATGAATGATTCATGGCCGCGTGGAAACCGGCCACGAGAGTTTCTCGGTAATTTTCCCGTCGTTTTTCTCCGCGGGCCGGAAAACTGCGAAAAAGTTTGCCGCCGCCGCCGCCCGTTGCCGGTCGCGGCGTTGTATTTCCATAATAAAATCGGCGTCGCGCAACGATTTCGCGCGAGAGGACGAGAGGATCCGCCGGGCCGGGCCGGGCCACGCGATAACCGGACAAGAACTTCCCCTTTTCAGAGGCGCTCTTTCGCGGCGCGTTTTCTTTGCCCCGCCTGCAATTTATTTACTGTAATCCCGCGACACGCGCGGGCTTTCGTTTATCGAAATCGCGTCGAGCGGCGCCGCGGCGGATCGCGCGGAGAAATTCGCTCGCGCGTCGCGCGACGAGCTTCGTTTCGAAAGTAGTCCGGCGCTGGAAATGGAACGATAATACGTTATGCCATTCGAGTAATAGGGAAATGGAACGATACAACGACCCGGTCGACGAGCAAACCGCCATAATGAAACAACGAAACGCCGCGGCGTCGGCGAAATGCGAATAACGTTCGAAGAATTTAGCGTTAATTTTCAAACTCGTTTTCGCGTAGATCGCGCGGTCGATGCGGCAAATATTTAGTTCGCATAAAAATTCGCGTTCTGTTTGTCAGGCCTTTCGAATTAAATTGCTAATTATGCAGGCCTGTAAAATTAAAAAAGAGCGTCGCTAATTTCTTTTTCGGCCGACAAGTTGTTAATCTTTGAACGGCTGTAACTCCGTTAAAAATCGTCACAGAATTATGATTCTTGGTTTTCAATTGAAGCTTGAAATCTCTACTTTACGACACCGTATTCTAATTTTTAATGTCATGCGTCTCCTAAATCTGAGAGCGTGGCGTGGAGTGGCACTCTCTCCGTAACTGTCGCAAAGATCTTCTTATTCCTTTTTCACTGTGTTGGTTTATTTGCTTGCAAATATTAGGTTGTCAAGTATGAAATGGAGCAAACATCATGTTATTTATTTCGCATCGCACACGACCTCATTCAGACGCCGTATTTTGGCATAATTTGTTTCTCGTGTGGAAGGTACATCTTTTCCGCTTTCTAACTCATATTTCAGTTTGAAAAAGATTTGCAATAGTGTTTTTGTATAGGCGATTAAGTGAGACCATGGAAATCAGCGAAATTCGTGTGTTGATGCAGTATGAGTTCCACCGTGGAGCTACAACACGGCAGGCAGTCGCCAATATCAATGGTGTGTTCGGCATTCAAGTGGCTACAAACGCGACTGTAGCTCGTTGGTTTAAAAAATTTCGTTCGGGAGATTTCGACCTGTCGAATGAACCACGTGGCCGACCCAAGACTCAGGTGGATAATGTCGTCCTGAAAGCCACTGCGGAAGCGAATCCTAGCCAAAGTGCACGTGAATTATCATTAATGTACAATGTATCGAAGCAAACAATCTCGACTCATTTGGCAGAAATCGGTAAAGTGAAAAAGCTGGACAAATGGATACCGCATGAATTGACCGATGACTCGAAATCCTCCTGCACGACAACGCTCGACCACATGCCGCACGAATGACCGTGTCAAAGCTACAGGAGTTGAAGTTGGAAACCCTCCGTCACCCACCGTACTCGCCAGACCCTGCCCCCACTGACTACCATTTCTTTCAAAATTTAAACAACTTTTTATCTGGAAAAAAAATTCAATTCCATACATGCTGTCAAAATGGCGTTTCAAGAGTTCATCGACTCCCGTGATCCAGGCTTCTACAGCAAAGGGATAAATGAGTTACCCCTACAATGGCAAAAGTGTATCGATAATATGGGCGCATACTTTGATTAAAAATAAAAAGTTTCTATTGGGGAAAAAATCGAATTCAATTATGTACATTTTTTGCTCCATTTCATACTTGACAACCTAATAATTAAAGGCAGAGTTTTAGGTAAAGGTATATTTATTGAACACACGGCTCACAGGCTTGCTCGTAAGAGCTTAGGGACAACGAGTGTACTCGCGAACTGCTCACAGACGACTAACTAAAAAACCGCGGAAGACGCGCAAACTGTGCGTCGGAAAATCCTTAGTTGTCATAAATAACAAATCCGCTCTCACACCGCGTGTGACGGACTTTCGAGTGAAAATTTGCTCGGCTCGAGTCGACGCGCGTTTAGTTTTTAATATATATTTTACTAAATTTAATAATAATAATAATAATAATAATAATAATAATAATAATAATAATAATAATAATAATAATAATAATAAATAGTAATAAATAGTAATAAACTGTTTTTTTTATATTGGGTTGGCAACTAAGTAATTGCCGATTTCAGTTATAGATGTCTCTCACTCCCATTTTTATAATATCCGTAAATGTTATATTATAAAATTATAGCGTGAGCGTTTAGCGCTCACGTGGCCTGCAGATGGGCCGCAAGGGCCGTCTTACCCGAAAAACGGACAAGGCCGTAAAACATACGAAGTACCCATTTTCAATAGCATCGAAAATGCCAGACATTTAGACATTGTCTTTTTTTCAATTCTTCGACGTATCGTTGTTCCAATTGAACAGACGCCAAACACCGATATAACTACGACCATAACTGCTTGTGTAACAAGCGATTCAAGTTTCGGGCTTCAGCTTATTATACAAGTCTCTATAACCATAACTGCGTAACTGCGACGTGTTTCGTGCTATTTCAATCAGAAACTCGCGGCGAAAACGATAAAGACTTAAAAATAGAAGTGAAAAATAACTAAATAATTTCGAGATTTTCTGCCAATTTCGGAGGTACGATTCCGACAGTTACGGTAGAGATATTCGCGAGTTAGGCTACATTGTCGAAAAACCAGAACTAAGGAGCATCGTTTTCGTTCCTCGTCCTTTTTCGCGATCTCCCTACGCTTCTTTACATTCGGAACACCGTACAAGAATCCGGTATCTCTACCGTAACTGTCGTTCGACCCGTAATTGGGTCGTTCACGGAGCGACAACTGCGCCGCCATATGTCGGAACTCCGTGCAGCGTGCTATTTATTCGGTAAAGATCATAGAGAGTCGGAAACGGTTCTGACTGCTCCGGCAGTCGTTGCCGCAAGAACGTATACGGACACGTGCCAAATTTGTGCCTATAACAAAGGCATTAGGAGCCGGAAGAAATAACCGGACGAGATCCATCGAGGAAACCGATTATCGCGGTCGGGTAGCTCGCGGTCCGGAAAAACCGAGCCCCTCGCTCTTGCACGCTCTCTCCTTTTTCCCCCGTGGAACCGAACCCGTTCCTTTCCATTTTCACGCGTCACGCCGTGCAGCCGGGGGTTAAATGGGACGTCGCGGCGCGAAGGGGGTCAGGATCGTTGCACGAGCAATGGATTTTCGCGCAGACGAAACCGGGAATTTACGATATCGAACGTAATGGCGCTTGCAGGCCGCACCAGCTCTCTCTCTCCCTCTCTCTCTTTCCCTCTGTCTGTTTTCGCTTTGCAGGCAGGGTAGAGAGAGAGAGAGAGAGAGAGAGAGAGAGAGAAAGAGCGTGAAGGAGAGAGAGAGGAAGAGAGAAAGAGAGAGATGGAAAGGAAGCGAGCGGAATGAAGTGAGAGAGAGTTAGAGAGAGTGAAATGAAGAGAGATAGAGAGAGAGAGAGAATGAAGAGAGGGAGAGCTATAGAGAGCGAAATGAAGAGAGAGAGAATGAAGAGCGCGAGAGTGAGAGAGAGCGAAATGAAGAGAGAGAGAGAGAGTGAAAGAGAGCGAAATGAAGAGGGAGAGAGAGAGAGAGTGAAAGAGTGCGAAATGAAGAGGGAGAGAGAGAGAGAGTGAAAGAGAGCGAAATGAAGAGGGATAGAGAGAGAGAGAGAGTGAAAGAGAGCCGAAATGAAGAGGGAGAGAGAGAGAGAGAGAGTGAAAGAGAGCGAAATGAAGAGGGAGAGAGAGAGTGAAAGAGAGCCGAAATGAAGAGGGAGAGAGAGAGAGAGAGAGAGNNNNAGAGAGGAGAGAAAGAGGGAGAGAGAGAGAGAGAGAGAGAGAGAGAGAGAGAGAGAGAGAGAGAGCGAAATGAAAAGGGAGAGAGAGAGTGAAAGAGAGCCGAAATGAAGAGGGAGAGAGAGAGAGAGAGAGAAAGGAAGAGAGAGCGAAATGAAGAGGGAGAGAGAAAGAGAGTGAGAGAGAACGAGAGAGAGAAAGAGAGAGAGTGAAATGAAGAGAAAGAGAGAGAGAAAAGAGAGCGAGAGAGCGAAATTAAGAGAGTGAGAGTGACAGAGAGCGAGAGAGAGAAAAAGAGAGAGCAAAATGAAGAGAGAGAGAGAGAGAGGGAGAGAGAGAGCGAAATGGTGAGGGAAAGAGAAAGAAAGAGAGTGAAAGAGAGAGAAAAAGAGAGAGCGCGAAATGAAGAGAGAGAGAGTGAGGGAGGGAGAGAGGGAGGGAGAAAGAGCGAAAGAGAGAAACAGTGAGAGAGCGAAATGAGGAGAAACAGAGAAAGAGCGAAATGAGGAGAAAGAGAGAAAGAGAGAGAGACAGAGATCGAGAGAGAGAGAGGGAGAGACAGAGATCGAGAGAGAGAGAGAGAGAGCGGGAGAGCGCGAAATGAAGAGAGAGAGAGAGAGAGAGAAAGAGCGAAAGAGAGAAAAAGAAAGAGAGCGAAATGAATGCGAAGAGGAAGAGAGCGAAAGAGAGAAAAAGGAAGAGAGCGAAATGAAGAGAAAGAGAAGAGAGCGAGAGAGCGAAATTAAGAGAGAGAGAGAGAGAGAGAGTGACAGAACGAAATGAAGAGAGAGCGACAGAGAAAGAAGGAGAGAGAAAGGCCTCCTCTCGCGTTTCCCACTGACCTACCTGTCACTAACCCGGGAACACCTGTTGTATCATTTTTCCTCGATTGGCCTGGAACTGTCATTCACGTAATGATATCAGGAGCCGGGAAAACGTTGCTCCCTTATTCGGTGCGCGCCACCGTCGCGAACGTGACCGCCTCTGCTTTCCGCTTCGACGATCGAGCCCCCGACTCATGGAGCTTCATCCTCGACGTTATTGTGCCCTGGCTACGTTAGCGAGATATTAGCTAGCCGTGTGCGATCCGCTGCCTTCTTATAAACTGGTCGTCGAAAATGTGTGCCGTTCCGTTCCCGGGCGACGGTGCGTCACATAACGATTTTCACGTTCACCGACATTCCTGGCGGATCTAATACCGCTGCCTTTTCGAAAGGATCGCTTGCTGGACGGTTTATGCATCTTGCGGATATTTTGGAGTAGCGTTTTCTTTCGTTCAAAGTTATTATTATTTTCGGGAGGATTTAAATCGTTGAAAATTAACTGAAAATTAACTACCTACTCAATTTTCGGTAATTAAATCGAATAAGTTGCTGTTACATTAGAAACAATAGAAAGGAAGATTTGAATATATTTATATGTATATAAATATTTCTATATTCATATGTATATCTTATATAAATATATATAAATATAATATATAAAATAATATATATATATATATATATATATATATATATATATAACAATATAATATATATGTATATATATATATATAATATAATATAATATAATATAATATAATATAATATAATATA